CGGGTGGCATGATACTATTCACGTGATCTCGCTGACGCAACAGTACGTTTCTCGTCACTTTAAACTTTTACAACTTCTATGATACACGCTATAAATCACAGCGATTCACAATCTCGATAACACACACTAGCTCGAAACAGAATCGTAGTTTATATACCAACGAGGGGGCGTCTCGAATACACTCGGGCCTCTCCGATTATTCATGATCATTTGAGAAATTCATCACATGCCACCAGCGTCACATGACTTCCGCTGTCGTAACAATACGATTGTCACTATAAACTATCACGTTTCAAAATATGTGATGCTTTCAAAATATTCCGTGAGTTACTTTCCTGTAATCTATCTGTCAGTCCTCTTGTAGTAGATGTTATATATGTTGCGTCATCGAGGTCACGTGACTGGTGTGGCGCCACCTATTTTCTAGAACTGTCCTGTACCTTGGCGAATGCTCTAGCATTTACTAGATATAGGGTAGTCTTGTATATAAAAGAGGGTGACAACGTGACGGGACAATAATGTGTGTGTAGATAGTGAGTAATTGAACTGCAGTCACAGGGTATTGCTGAAGTTAACGTTCGTTCGTTATAGTGTTTGTTTTAGCGCGAATATTCAAATTAAGTGTATCGTAAAGTTATATTCGGAAAGAATAAACCAGTTTTATTAAGTAAGGACTTGTGTCGTTAAAGTTTCGTCGGAACGAAGTTACGGAAAAATCAATTAACAAACGGAGACGTAACATATATACTCTAGAACATTCAGAGGATTGATACATGTATATACTTCCGAGCGGTTTGGTTTGCCTATTTTGTTTTTAATTAAAACATAAAATAGTTCATTATTCTAACGATGGGTTTAAGGATGCCTCGAAGTGGATAAACGTTGCACAGTAAAGACTTTAATTGTTCCTATATTCTCAAGACATATTAACCGGTGAATGTATGAAGTGTCTATTTTTGATACACTATATACCTTCTCTGAGCTTTCTTGATGCATTTTTTGATTATGCTAGTTATTACTTTCATTTGAAAATCATTATTACTTAAATAACACTTAATGTTATTTATTTATTTTTAAATAGTTTTATATTACTGGTAAGTTTGTGTTCTGTATACCAAAATTCTAATCAGATTATCTTTAAATTTATTTGATATAAAAGTATTGTAGTTAAACTATAAACTTAAATACTGTTATGTCTCCGTTTGTTAATTGATTTTTCCGTAACTTCGTTCCA